GCCTCTGAGTCTACTAGGAACAAGTAGAAGGCAGAGACCTCTACCTCTGAGTTCTATTAGAACAAGCAGCTACTTCCACCAATTTATTTTTGACACTTTTCATTGTTCAACGCCTTTTTATACTAGCGCATTGCATCGAAATCCTACAAGCCAAAAAGCTATGGTTCATCCGCGGTATAGTCATCCGAAGCCGGATATCTTTCCACCAAAGATAATTCAGGGACACTGGACGCAAACACTTTCTGGGCCTCGACCACGATATCGCTATACACGTCCGCCTCTCCTAACCAGACCAGTACATCCGATGCTGAACTATAAACCAAACCCATAGAGCTGACTTGGTGAGTTTTTTCGACAGCATTGTCTTGCGCTATATAATAGCATTAATCTAAAAAACTCTATATTCGTTAAGTTATTGAAGTGCGCAAAGGAGTGCATTAAGGTTTTATATTATCTAATATAGTTGCGCCGTCCACGCTTCTTGTGGGCTCTTTACTATTGCTTCTTTTGTTTTAGCGCATTAAAGGGTGAACCTAAGTATATCTTTAATCTCGCCCTAGTAGTACAAGACCGCTTAGTAGAATATAGCTGAAGCATGGGTTTGCGGTCCTCGCAACTAGAGATAACCAAGAAAGCCCGAGAGGGGCGCGTCGCCTTCGCCCGGATCAACAGCAACATAGCGAATCTCGTTAACCTCTGGATTAAGGGGCAAATAGGTGGATGTATCGTTTCTAACCCCTTGAAATGGAAGTGTAACATCACTTGTTGTTGCACCGAGGCCTCGCTTCTTGCGTGGAGGTCCAGCTGCACGACCTTCCAAAGAGGGCCTGCTGCGCTTTATAGTTTTCAGACTTTGAATTGAAAATTTGCTAGTTTATATAGATTTCGAAAAGATTCGTGACTGCTATGCACTTAGACAATGCCCCTTTTCAGAAAATTAATATAGAATGAACGTATTGGCTTGTCTCAGCCTCTTGTCTTGACACGAGCTGATTAGCGGCTCAGCCTATCTCGCATCCTTCTGTAGATCACGTACATGTCAGCGATGTGAACCTATAAACCCAGAAGTACCATATATAGTCACGTGGTTATTCACTAACTAATAATGCTGTATTTAAACTTGCTCCTATCATGATACACATCACAATACA